AGCAGATCCTTTAAAAGGGATGGGAATATAAGAGATTCAGAGAGAAACAAATCATGCATCAAATAGCATCCAAAGTATGATAATATGCATAAGTACAAGCTCTGGGGAAGTAGCTGGTAATGGGAGAACCAATTGAAAGAAGTATGACACTTTTCAAAACAAACCGATATTTCAAGAACAGATCACATGAAGCTATCACTAAACTATTATTTTAATTTTTCTGGAACTTACAAGTTCCATTAGTAAGGATGATAACTATGCCAGACCATTAGCAAGCAGAGGCATTAGGATGGGGATATATGCGTTTGTGTGTGTGTTTGTGTGTGTATGCATGTAAAAAATTAAATATACATATAACTCTTTCACCTGATAACTTTGCATATGGTAAAAGAATTTTTGCAGTAGCCCTCATTGTAAGGAATTTCCTTTCATTTTCTTAACAGGGCACCATCTTTCAAATTGTTTAAATACAAGCATGATGGTGAGTATAAAATTATATTTTAACACAATTTGTGCACAACTGGTACATTGTGCATTAGATACTTCAAAAGCTTAAAGTTTAGATGGAGATTCAACTTATGCCAAGTGTCTAGCATAGCAACCAGAAAGAAAGGAGGATGTTCCAAGAGAGCCCCTCAAATAATGAATCAACTATTTTCAATTATACTATAAAAGTTTTAATTAGATAACGTACTCTTAATTTCTTATTCCCTATTATTATTTGACTAACTGTATTGTATGATTAATTGTCTAACTCAGAAACATAATATATTGAAAATAATTCATGCATTGATAACTTATTGAGTAAATAATTCAGAAAGAAAAGTATAAAAAAGAAGAGAGTTACTTAAACTCCTCAGTGTGTTCCAATTTCCGACTTCCTTCAATAGCAGAATGTTTGTCATGTGTTTCATATAAGAGAGTACTGTCAGTGGGTACCTCCAGATTCCACTTATGAAATGATGCAACTAATACCTGGAACATTCTTGTAATAGGGCTTCCGCCGGGTCTCTGAAATCTATAAAGCATTGTGCCTGAGAAAAAACTTGCAATTGCAATTCCCATAAATAATGCTGGAATGCCAAAGCCTAGGCCCCAACCAGCATTATCTTGAATCCATACCAGAAAACTGCTTGATATCAGAGCACCAATGTTGATAGAAAAATAAAACCAGTTGAAGAAAGAACCCTTCTTCACCCTTTCTTTGGGATCTGT